CCCCCCCCCCCCCCCTCCTCCAAAAAAAAAAAGTTTTCCATGTTGAGGTAAATATAAGACTAAATAACACTTAAATGCCACAAACCTTCCTGTTTTGTCACATATATGCTATAAAGCTATTTTTCGGTATATAAATATCATAAGTTATTTAAAACCGACATTTGCTATTTTTGATCATGTAAACGTGAAAATTTGTACACCAGCATGTTAATTTTACATATTTCTAAACTTTAATATTTGTTAAATTTATCATTAAATGCATCACGACGTTATTTAAAATAGAATTAAGATAAGTTTTAAAAAGATTTTTTTTAGATTTAATAGCAAATATAACAATAATTAATAGTTTAAAAACTCTAAAAATTAGCATGCAAGTATCATATTCGGGTGAAAACTTTCACATTTCTATGATTGAGTACACTAACGTGCTAAAATTTTAGCAACATATGCTATCTTTCGCCACAAAAAATAGGGAAAAATGTTTCAAGGCCCCAAAAAAAAGATCCGGTTGTGGCCCAGACCCAGCAATTAATTCCCTTAGCATTTAGCCCCATAAAATAGTGAAAATTGTGGCCCAGCCCTAAAAGCCCATTCATATACATGTATTGGGTGTATTTTGACCAACATACCTAAATTACCCTCATCTCTCTCACAGGAGAAAACCGACTGAATGGGTTCCTCCTTTGGCGGCGACCGCTCCCATCGCATTTAAGGCGAAACGACGGAGGAAAGCGGGGGGAAAAAGCGCGCGCTCCCTCCATTACTGTGCTGCTTCATCAGCCTTTATTATAAATCGATCAGTTCTAGCTCTCACTCTCTCATTAATGAAATTAGGGTTTGTTCTTCAACTGTCAACCATGTTTATGCGCCTGAAATCCCCTCAATTATTCCTTACCTCCTCATAACTGTCCTCATAACTCTCAACCACCCAATGGCTGCCGATGACTTGATTTGCATGGTGTCTTTAGGCGAGAATGCCATATTTATGAAGCTAAGGTCGACAGCAAGCTTTTATGAACTGAAATATGGTGTGGCTGAAAGATTGAAAGTACCTGAAGAATCTTTTTCCTTGATATATAAATCTGAGAGGCACCCTAACCTGAGTTTTTCAGTTGAGAACGAAGATGACCTGAAGTGCATGTTGGAGCACAATCGAAAGATTGGTTGTATGGAGATTCATATGCAGGCTGCTGTTAACGTAGAGTGTTTCACGCCAGGGAAGAATCAAAAAGTTATTAGCAAAATGTAAGTAATTAATAAACTCTTTATAACATTGTGCTTAGTGTGATGTAAACACTGTTATCTTTTGGTCAACTTTCAATCACCCCTCTGGGCTTTAAATCCCCTGAATGTAACTGTATAACTGTCGTCATAAATTTGAACAACCCCCAACGGGTTCCAAAGAGTTGATGAGCATGGTGCCGTCAGGCGATAATGCTATATTCTGCATGATTTGAAGTGCACGTTGGAACACAAGTAAATAACTAGAATTGTTCTGATTAAAATGCAAGATGTTGATGCCAAGTAGTGTCCTACTCCTGAGGAAAAAATAGAAAGTTATTACTGATTTGTAAGTAATAGAATAAACTCTGTTTGAAACTGGGATATGTGGGATGTTGAAATTTTGATTTCAGGTTTCGATGCTACTTTGGGGAAAATAGTTGTCATCGCTGATGGGTACATTTTAACCCTTCAGCTTACGGGTTAATTATCTAAGATATATGTTAACTATTATATGAACATGTTAACTCTCATTGGAACATGTTATACTTTTCTTGAACATGTTAACTTTCGTCTGTCTTTGTTAACCATGTCCATTGTCTGTTAAATTCCACTGCTCTATGTTAAGTTTTACTCAAAATGGTTAATTTTACACCCAGTTAGTTAACTTTTGGTGTGCTGTGTTAACCAAGCATATTATTAACTTTCATCATAGTGCTGTTAACTTAAGTTATAAGAAGATTATTTAACATAGTGTGCAGGATATCTCACTGTTTGATTAAATTGTGCAACAGGGATGCCTCTTTGAATGCAGATTATAGTTGTCCTCCTCCAGGAAATGCATCCAATTCAGAGAGAATCCAAACCGATTTTTCGTCTGGTAAGATTGTAATTAGGGCTGATGATATTCTCAATAACACTTCGAGCATTCCTCAATGGTGGCACACAACATTAACTGAAAAGGGGCAACAATTTAAAACCGTAACTGAATTGAGACTAGCTTTGCAATACTATTCCATGGCCAAAAAATTTGAATATGAATTTCTGAAGAATGAACCCAAACGTATACGCATTTGTTGTCGATATAAGGAGACGTATGGATGCCCTTGGATGCTCTTTGCAGCTCCTATTAAAAATGATAAAAGAATGGAAATCAAAAGGTTTGTGAATGAACACAGTTGCGGACAACATTCTAACTTGTCAGGGCAATCACGGGCATCTCGCAAGTTCATAGCAGCCCAATTGCGACCGGTATTAAAGGCACGACCTGAAATCCGCCCAATTGATGTGCAAAAGGACTTCCTCACTCGATTTGGATTGAGACTTGAATACAGTAAGATATGGTGGGGCAAAGAAAGAGCGCAGCAGGATATGTATGGTGATAGCTATGAGGCTTATGATCAATTAAGATGGTAAATATTACAGTTAATTTATAACTTGTGTGCAAATGTTTATCATAGCCGCTTTAATGTTAATATGTTACCCTTATGTTCCAATGTATTATATTTATTTACATGTCCAGAAGCGGCATTGTTGTACATGTATGAGCAAATGGTGAAGCAAACGAATCCAGGAAGCTACATTTGCATTGACCAGAATGAAGGAAGGTTCAGAAGACTGTTTATATGTTATGCTGCTTGCATCCAGGGTTTCTTAAATGGGTGTAGACCCCTTTTATTTTTGGATGGGACCTTTTTGAAAGACAGATATAAAGGCATGCTTTTGAGCGCCATAGCCTACGACGGAGACCAATGGATATTTCCACTTGCGTATTGTATATGTGATCAAGAAAATGTTGATAATTGGAGATGGTTCCTACAAGCCCTGTGGTCCATACTCTATGAAAGGTTGGACCCGTACAATCCCCCCACCAATTGGTAATTATTTCTGATGCCGACAAGGGGATTTGAGAAGCCGTGAGAGAATATTTCCCTGAAGCAATTCACTCACACTGCGTTTTGCATCTAGTTGAAAATTTTAGATCAAAGCTCAAGGATTTGGGAATGAAGGCAAAAGACACACAAGTTTTGGGGAATTTGCTCCAAACTGCTTGCTATAAATACACCATAGCGGAATGCAACGACTACATGAAGGAAATTTATGAGATGGCTCCAGTCGCATATGAGATTGTAATTAATTACTCGCCAAAGCATTGGGCAAATGCCTTCTTCCCTGGCATTAGGTATGCATTCAATCATTATGACGTTTTGCGGTTGATGTTAACTGTTATGCATATATGTGAAGTATCCTTTTTATAGGTTAACCTTTGCTGATATATGTTAACTTTCACTGATATATGTTAACTTTCACCAATATATGTTAACTATGATGTTTTTATGTTAGCCTTTAGCAGTATAGGTTAAGTTTTATGATCACTTGTTAATAAGATAACATATTATATGCCCATCATACTTCCTATATGTTGTCCTTTGCAGATATGACCATGTAACCTCTAATGTCGCAGAATCCTTTAACAGCTGGATACGTGAAGCCCGTTTGTTACGTATCCTGCAAATGGTGGAGAATATCCGAAAACAACTTATGACTCGCATGAACAACAGACGGATAATGGCGTGTAAGTGGACAAGCTATCTTTGTCCTAAAGCTGAGCAGATTGTTAGAGAAAATATGGAAAAAGGGCGCACTTTAGAGATTAGGCAATCTAGAGAGGATATTTTCGAAGTGCAATCACATAGAACCACTCACGTTGATTTGGAGAATAGGACATGCACTTGTCGATCTTGGGACGTAACCCGTACTCCTTGTCTCCATGCTTGTGCAGTCATTATTTATATGAAAAGAGATGTATATCAATATTGTGATTGGTTCATGTCCGTAGAAGCGTTTAAGAAGAGCTACGATGAAATATTATATCCCATACCAGACTATGAGAAGCAGAGTGTGCCCAAGGATGAAATCCAGATTTTGCCACCAATTACCACTAAGAGGAGGGGAAGAAATAGAATAAGACGCATAAACAACAGAACCATATACAAACGGCCCGTCAAATTTTCTCGGTGCAAAGTTGAAGGTCACAATAGAGCAACCTGCAATGAGCCCATCCGTGACTAGTGTGTTTCAGCTTCTAACAACAATACTTTTGTATGAGACATATAGATGGTTTTAAAGTTGTTAAATATATAGCGTTGTACTTTTGTAATACAATACTTTTGTATGAGACATATAGATGGTTTTAAAGTTGTTAAATATATAGCGTTGTACTTTTGTAATCTGTGATAATGCATGTTAGATTCATTTTGTTCATGCTGTTAATAGAAACATGTTATGATGAGAGACATTTTCAGATCTTCACCTATCATGTCAAGGTTTTGAGTTTAAATGGGTGACTTCTCCAACATATTAGTCACTGTTCTAACGGCTAGCAACCAGTCATTTCAAACAGCCATATTCCAACGGCTTGTAAGTTGTTCCTTATGCAATATAAAATGTGCACATAGGAAAGTTATAAGCTTAATAGAAGTTCTAACTTTCCTTTCATTCCCTCTTGAGATTGCGAGATAAAAACGTCAGAGGGTGTTCAGTCATGGGAAGAGGTATGTTGTTTTTGTAACATTCCAACACCCATGAGGCAGTGTAAAAATGGGAGGAACAAGGGTAGATACTTCTGGGGATGTGCAAATTTCCCAAAGAGGCAATGCAAGTTTTTCGCTTGGGCTCACAGTGAAGATGCAATGGTAAGTAGGAATATTCCAGATTGCCCAGAAGTCCCCGTTGAAGATGATATAGCGGTCAAGGCAAAGCAGTTGAAGAAAGCACTGAAGCAAGCAAACCGCGAAGTTGAAAAATGGAAACTTTGTTCATTCTTCCTGTATTGTTTTTGTATTGTTCTAATATCCATCATCTTTGTCATCTCTAACTGAATTTGGTCAAGTATCACGTGTATACGTTAACGTTTACTATAAATGGTTAAGTTTCAGAGCTATATGTTAACTCTAACTGATAGTGGTTAAGTTTTAGAGCTACATGTTAACTATTACGTATAGTGGTTAAGTTTCAGAGCTATATGTTAACTCTAACTGAATTTGGTCAAGTTTTAGAGCTACATGTTAACTATTACTGATAGTGGTTAAGTTTCAGAGCTACGGGTTAACTTTTTATTGAAAGTGGTTAACTTTTAACGCTATATGTTATCTTTCATACTTATATGGCAGCCACCTCAAGTTTTGTGTCGGAACATCAGTGACATATACTATCATCCCTTATAGCCCTGTTATGTATTGCATTTCAAACATTTTAGCAACAAAGATTATGCTGTTAACCAGTTAAACAACCAGTTTCTTACATCTCCTCGTCCAACCTACCCACCAGTTAAATAAAAAGTTTTGATATCACATAACATCTTAACTAGCAACCAGTTACACAACCTTTCTCTAGTTATACATCTAAATTAATATGCCTGTTAGTTTTCTCCCACAACAATCTGCACAATACATAACTTTTCCTGACATCATTCACCCATCCTTTTCTAGCCCATCCACGTAATTTTTTTCTGTTCCCATCCTTCAATTAGGAGTTCAGCTGCAAGCTTGGCACGGATGACGTCAGACTCGTCAGCGGGATTAGTTACCTGACTGGTATCAGTCCCTTGTATTATAGCTGTTATATATAAAGGAACGAAAAGCCCACAATCAAACCTACATCATATACATTGGAAAGATAGTTAGATAGTTATATATAAAGGAACGAAAAGCCCACAATCAAACCTACATCATATACATTGGAAAGATAGTTAGATATTTGATGCTGAATAAAATGAAAATGTTTAAGTGTGTGAAACACTAACGTTCCACGCTGTTGCTCGCAAGGGACGGCTTCATATCAGAATTTCTTCCAAACATTATTGGGATCAAAACCAGCCTTCATGTGATCCATGAAATCAATTACTTTATTTACTGGCTCCAGGTATGCACTGTGGCCTGCAGAGCTGTAATGCTTGCTAACATCCTCGTCCAACCTTACTTCAACAACATGCCAGTGGTCATGCTGCACAAGCGGGATACGGAAAACTGATTTATTTGCGGCGACATGCTTTTGTATGAACGAGGTGTATAAATGTGCGTAATCTGGGTTCACTGCATAAATGCTATGCTGTATTGCCAAGCAAATAATGATAAGCCATTTGTAAACAGGAGTTAAAAAAACATTGGGAGTTTGAAGCTAATGCTTACGCAGAAAAATGCTGACACGACCCCATATTTCATGCCAACAGAACCAATTTCTGGCCTCTCTAGCCATGTGCTGAGCCTATCTACAAGAGCTTCCATGACCTGTTAACAGAAGATGCAAATAAGATTGCATAACATCTCAACACGCAGTAAATCCAAGTATTGCGTAAAAGATTAACATATTGAGAGTAGCATATTGAACTTGCATGGTCATCGATACGCCCGCCACGTAGAAGATAAAGAAGCTCCGTCGAAACAATGCTGCTGTTCAATGTCTTAACAATAATATGTGACCTGAAACATAACAATAAGGTCCAAATGGTAACATAAACCAGGCTATAGGAAACTGGATTTGCAAATATAAACATGATTTGGCAAACGTTGGCACAAATAGGTATAAGTTAACATAAACCTATAATCATTAACATGTAACTATGAAAGTTAACATAAACCTATAATCATTAACATGTAACTATGAAAGTTAACATAAACCTATAATCATTAACATGTAACTATGAAAGTTAACATAAACCTATAATCATTAACATGTAATAATGAAAGTTAACATAAACCTATAATCATTAACATGTAATAATGAAAGTTAACATAAACCTATAATCATTAACATGTAACTATGAAAGTTAACATAAACCTATAATCATTAACATGTAACAATGAAAGTTAACATGTTGTAGCCACGGTTAATCAGAATGTCTAAACTTACTGATGGGCTGTTTCATTGCAGAATCTTCCGATAAACTTGCACCTGATCCTTATCCTCCTCACTAGCCACAGCTTCCCCCACATTCTCAACCTCTATCTCTTGCCATTCCTCCTTCGCTGCCTCCTTCTCTTCCTCTTTCATCTCCATCTCTTTCTCTTCCTCTTTCTTCTCATCTTCCCTCTCTTCCTCTTTCTTCTCATCTTCTCTCTCTTCCTCTTTCTTCTCCATCTCTTGCCATTCACCTTTCTCTGCCTCCTTCTCTGTTTGCGCAACAGCCTCAGCAATATGAGAAGCTTCCTTGCCAATGTTCGTTACATCGTCATAATCAAAACAAATTCCATCATCACCCATATCACCCCTATCATTAGAATCAACACTCTTTCTTCTTTTCCTCAGTGCATACCCTTTATGCCTATCACTTTGTGACATAAGTTCCCTCACATTTTTCTTCAGGTCTTCGGGATCAATCAAGTCTTCGATCTCTTCATAGCGCTCCAATTTCTTGTTCAACCTATGTATCTCCTGGGAGCAAGCATCCCATTGAAGGCGCTTACTACGCTTGACAGCGTGGAGCAATTTCCAATTTATATTGGCCGTATTCCTCCACAAATGAATTTGCTCTACAGGTGCCAACTTATCTATTTCATCTTCTCTTGAAAAAGCATCATCGATATGCTGGGAAAAAAATCTGAAAAGTAAACCACATACCCTTTACCCATGTAAATCCACAAGATTAAGCAGAATAGTTATGAAAACCCATAAAAGAAAGTTAACATGAAACAATGCGAATTGAAAATGAATTAATGATAACGATAAAATATTTAACTCAATGTAAATATGCTGTGATGTGTAAAGAGTCATTGCTGCTTATGTAACCCATAGATGAGCTCTTTGGTCTGCCCATCACCTTCTCTTGCTTCCCAGCCTTCTGCTTTTCTTCCTTTCTTATCTTTCTCGGCCTAGTTTGCTCTTTGGTCTGCCCATTACTCCATTTCTTCTCTTGCTTCCCGGACGTTGGGCTTCTATTTTTTCCAAAGCGAGTGAATTCAATCTTCTTCTTGCTGGGCTCCCTTTGAGAGTATTTTTCACCCCATCCAATGCTAAGTGAAATTGGTTTCTCCTCAAGTTTTATGCTTGCTTTCTTGGCCTTAGAGACGATTGTCTCCATCCTCAGAGATCCAACCGTCCCTCCGACCCTTACCCAGTTGGTCATCGGAGGCTTCCACCTCAAGTTTAGGGCTGGTTTTTTAATGCCAGTCATCTCAAAGTACCAAAGCTGTCAGAATCGAAGGATCAATTGTCAAAATAGTTAACTTGCATAACTCTTTCTTGAACTACAACATACTAAATAGCTAGCCTTCACTTCACTAACCCATGTTAATATTACTGGGTACATGTTACCTTTCACTTATTAATGTTAACTTTAATTTTTATATGTTAAAGTTTATGTTAACATGTTAACTTTCACCTATTAATGTTAACTTTTACTTTTATATGTCAAACTTCATGTTAACATGTTGATTTCAACATGTTAGCCTATTAACGTCCAATGTTGTACATGTTTTCTAATGCATGTTACCATGACTCCTATTAACTAGATCAAATGTCAAGCCAGATGATCATGCAACATACAGGGATGAGCGGCATGCATCCAGGTACGTATGTAACCCCTGGCTTCCTCAACCCTTCAACGGCAATTTGAATGCCTCTCTTCGTCTCATCAAAAATAAATTTACCCCACGCAATGGTCTTCACTCTCTCGATACTATCTACATATTGAAACAATTGTCTTGGGATGCCTTGAGAGCTGTTGGGGCACCAAATCGTTGCACATTGGTACAATATCTGAAGCAACACAAAATCCTCAATGTCCTTATTATCAGAGGACTCAACAAGTGTTTCCAGCAACTCCTCGACATATCTCATCATGCTACCAGCTTCTGGTGTAGCCTTGGCCTTTGCCTTTGCCTTTGGCTTGGCCTTTAGCATTTCTTTCTTATCTTCAAAGTATTGCCTCCAAAGTCTGTTGTGAGGGTCTCTATTCCCGTAGATCAGCTCCCCATCAATGGGGAAGCCTGTGTGAGTTTGCACCCACTCTTCATCAAATTTCACTGAAAATATAGAACTGCTCTTGGGGTCGGGAAAAGAGAACTCATCAGTTTCGTCAGTATAATGGCTGAGCACATACTCTAGTGCCCGTCGATCGCGTGCTGGGGACCAAAGAACACATAGTGCTCAAAGTTACAGCCCTTGTAGGCATCCCAATGCCACTTCTTCAGTTTTGGTTGCAGTTTTTGCATGAAGGAACAATACGTTCCAAGACAGGCACTTGGCCTAATATCACCTAATGCAGCAACTATCCTGGATGAACAACAATTTACTCTTAACAAGTCGTTCAACTCAACTTTAAATTACGTAACAATCAACAGAAAAAGCATTAACATAGTCAAAATCACGATTTATTAACATGGTTAGCTAATAGTTGACTCTTAAGAGTAAACGTTAACAACAAACACAGATTATTGACATGCATTGCTACTAGCTATCAACAATTGCCATTTCCTTCAAAAAGGAACCCATAAACCACAATTAAAATCAACATCACTCATTTAAAATAATTAAATTCAAAAACCCTCAATTGATTGGGAACTTACTTCTTCTTTGACATGGACACATCCTCCGGCGAGCGTCTCCTCTTGCGCTCTCGATTTTCCTGACTTTTCATGCTCAATAGGGTTTCCATCGCCTCATTACTCTCCTCATCATCAGAGGATGGCGGAACAGAATCGCTGGCGTGAGATATCAAGGCGGAGGTGGAGGGGGATAAATTTGGTAGTTCCTCCTGCGCAAGTCGTGCCGACCGACGCCGGTGACGAACGTCCGCTTCCGTTTGAATCTGGTCTACTTCACCCGTGCATCGTTTAGGGTTCTTAGCCATTTTTCTTATAATTTTCTTCGGCATTTTCCTTGTGGATTTCCTGGCCGGTAGAGTCAAACTAGGGTTTTTAAATTGGGTTCGACCGCTGAAGGAGGTTCGAGTTTTTGGGGAAATTTGTGGGTCTGCAGAGAAAAGAACGCGAGCGAGAGAAAGAGGGAGGGCGGATTGGGGGGCGAACATTTACAATGGCAGTTTCGTCTTAAGAGACGTACTGTGCTCTCAGAGTTGCTTGGGAAATGAAAATGGGGCTGAACCGTTATTGACTTGGGTATTGGGGGTTTGATCACACAAAAAAAATACAGGGGGCTATACACAACCGGATCTTTTTTTTAGGCCTTAAAACATTTTTCCCCAAAAAATAAGTCAAGATATATAAGTGTCAATACAGAAAAACTTTATAATATTTAAATGACATTCATGATGTATGACCTGGTTAAAAAACGGGTGCACAAGAGGAGGTCTACCACGTACGATGTTGAGGGACGAGTCATTACTCATGCCCACAAGTCCAGACGGGCAAGTTCAGATTTATTTGCAAGTTTGCCATTCAAATTCCTATGGCGCACACCGTTGGATCTAATAGACGGTATAGATTGAAGCGAGGAAATCGGAACGGTTATACCCTTAGGGCTTTAAACCTCCGCCGCTGCCCGCAGCTTCAAGCCATTTCTCATCTATCATATCATCCCAAATTCGTTGTTCTCTACGATCTCACGAAGAACAAAATCATATTCTAGATTATTAATGAGAATTTGGCATGCAATTAGGGGGGATGGCTCTGTTCTTCTCCGCTACACTCTTGATGATGGATGATGTCGATGGCGATGAAATCAAGTTCTCGGATTGGGAGGTTTTGGAAATAATACAAAGGTGATTTTTTTCTTTGTTATTCTAAGATTGGTCAGGTTCCAGTCTATCAATTCATTATAAGGTGATTGTTTTGAATTTTTTCCGTGGACGAACAAATGGTGGTGACACAAAGGAAAAAAAGTTTATGTCAAATCATTAGACGGAAGTTTCCAGTGCCTACACAATAAAATATATAACTTACACGTAAATGTGCAGAAACAGATTAGTTAGTCAAGGTGAATCGACATGGATGTTTGGTTGATTTATTCATTAGTTATTTGAAAATTTGGTACTTGTTCAGGGGGAAAAAAAATACCCATTGATTGTTTACTATTGAAAAGATTTTTGTATGTTTTCAAGTCTGTTTTAACTTGTCCTCAAACTTCTATATTGAGTTTTTCACATTGTTTTGTGATTTTTATCACAAGAATTATGTTGACCGTTTTTTAATATTTTATCCAAATTCAAGTGCAAATTCTCAAAAATAAAATAAAATGGAAGCTAACAAATAATTTGTTAATATCAAATGAAAATAGGAGGGAAGAATAGTTAGAAATGTCAGCTTTATGAAAGACCAAAATAAAAACTATTATTCAAACAAAAATTTACAGATAAAATAGAAGGAAGGATAATTTGAAGCTACCATATTGTGGAAGAATATTATACTTTGGCCATTATTTATGTATACTAGCAAACTGGTGTTTCTTGTGATAATAATATTTTGCGACAAAGAAAAACTGACTATGATTTATGTCAGCTTTATATAGGACCAAAATAAAGCTACTATTCAAACAAAAAGTTGTTGATAAAATTGGACAGGATAATTTGAAGCTACTATATTAAGAATGGAAAACCATTTTATACTAGTGATTATTATTGTGTAATGCCAAACTGGTGTTTTTTATGATATAATATTTTTGGCAAAGAGTAGGTTTGGTTTTACACAACGTCCATCTAATGAGGCTTTATTTAGCTGTTATATGAGCTGAACATGACTATTGTTATTTACGCATTTTGTATTATAATGATACATATAATATGCTATTAATGTAAGTTTGTACTTCATCAAGTATTTCTCAAACTAAACCAACATGTTAACAACAATTTCATGTAATTTAGACAACAAGCAAATCCAAATTAAATAAAGTTCTAAACAATTGAAACTATTTAATTTATATAACCAATTAAATATAAGGTTGTCCTACTGTTTCATGTGTTATAGCAAATATTTTTATTGTAAAGCACTTCTAGACTTAGGAGCAAGTGTAAATCTTCTTCGTTATTCACTATCAACGGCTAGAGGTAAAACAACTAGATGCACCCTCCAATTAGCTGATAGCTCTGTAAACATACCTAAAGGAGGAAAAAATGATGTTTTGATTAAGGTTGGGGAGTTAATATTTCCTATTGATTTCATAGTTTTGGAAATGCATCCAATTTCCAATCTCAAGGTTCAGATCCAGGTCATTTTCGGAATACCATTCCGAACCACTTGAAATGCCTTGATTAATTTAGAACCAGGCAAATGAAATTTTTCTTTGAGAATATGACTGTAGTTATTAAAAATATAATATATTAACAAAAAATTGTCTTTTTTGTCTTACACAGTGGGATAACATTGTGTGTAACTCTATTCGGAGATTTAGCTAAAAATGAAGGATCAATTATTGAAGACAATATCAATGAGACAACTATAATAGCACTATCAGATTTTAAAATATCAATGTACACAAGTAACACATTTTTATTATTGAATTGCAAATTAAATATCAATAAATATCAAATTCTAATTATAACTATGATATATCCAGGGGAGATGTGCATGGCTTCGTAAATTGCATCAACAATATGTATCAACCCTGAAATACAGCTTGCTAAGGACATGCAAGAATGGTAATTCAAAAAAGAAGAAGCAATGTAACTTAATAAATTAAATTTTTAAAATTTTAAAATTATATGCAGGGACCATTCAAAAGACGATATCAAGACCAATGGTCCTTCATCAAAGATATTCAGAAATGCAGCAAAAATGAAAATTGTTGACATTATGCAAGCATAACAAAAATTATTAGAGGTATGCTATTATAAATTTCTACTATAAAATATTAATGAATCGAGAGCTTCAGTTTCACAACGAGCTGAGATAAATAAATTTAGTTTCATTGGTAAGATATAAAGTAAACAAGAAATTTTTTTACTATAGTGCCTAAAATTTTATTATTTTCATGATTAGATATTTTTTATATATTTCTAAGTTATCCTAGATATCTTTCAACTGCATTTACAATTATTATTTTTATATTAGTTTTTTTAAATACCAAATTTTCATATTTGTTTTTCTTTTGTCATTTATTTTATCATTTCTAATTTTATTTTCGTCATATATATAAACTGCGATTATAACTAACTAAATTTTTACAACTATACAGGCACAATATGGCACCTTTACAAGAAAAATAACTAACATCTTAAATAGACATGAGACTTGGTACTACTCTTGCAAAGGCTGCAACAAAAAAGTAGAAAAATATATTTATGACATATGTTAAAATTGTCAACAAATCACTGAAGACAGTATACCAAGGTGAAGTACTATCAATTATTCATGAAAGGAAAATGTAAAAATTAAATATAAAAATATCATCTGATGCAAAATGATAATACAAAATGTAGGTATGTAGTTAAAATCATAGTTGAAGATGAGACAGATAGTGCAAGAGCGACACTTTTTGACGCAGCAAAAACTCTGATAGGATGCAAGGCTCAGAAATTCATCGCTGATATAAAAGAGGTAACTTCTTACTTTATTACATTTTTGACTTTATGCAAGCATCACAAAAATCATTAGAGGTATGATATTGTAAATTCTATTATAAAATATTAATGAATCGAGAGCTTCAGTTTCACAACGAGCTGAGATAAATAAACTTAGTTTCATTGGTAAGATATAAAGTAAACAAGATTTTTTTTACTATAGTGCCTAAAATTTTATTATTTTCATGATTAGATATTTTTTATATATTTCTAAGTTATCCTAGATATCTTTCAACTGCATTTACAATTATTATTTTTATATTAGTTTTTTTAAATACCAAATTTTCATATTTGTTTTTCTTTTGTCATTTATTTTATCATTTCTAATTTTATTTTCGTCATATATATAAACTGCGATTATAACTAACTAAATTTTTACAACTATACAGGCACAATATGGCACCTTTACAGGAAAAATAACTAACATCTTAAATAGACATGAGACTTGGTATTACTCTTGCAAAGGCTGCAACAAAAAAGTAGAAAAATATATTTATGACATATGTTAAAACTGTCAACAAATCACTGAAGACAGTATACCAAGGTGAAGTACTATCAATTATTCATGAAAGAAAAATGTAAAAATTAAATATAAAAATATCATCTGATGCACAATGATAATACAAAATGTAGGTATGTAGTTAAAATCATCGTTAAAGATGAGACAGATAGTGCAAGAGCGACACTTTTTGACGCAGCAAAAACTCTGATAGGATGCAAGGCTCAGAAATTCATCGCTGATATAAAAGAGGCAACTTCTTACTTTATTACATTATTGACTTTATGCAAGCATCACAAAAATCATTAGAGGTATGATATTATAAATTCTACTATAAAATATTAATGAATCGAGAGCTTCAGTTTCACAACGAGCTGAGATAAATAAATTTAGTTTCATTGGTAAGATATAAAATAAACAAGAATTTTTTTTTACTATAGTGCCTAAAAATTTATTATTTTCATGATTAGATATCTATCTACCCTTTAAAAGAGGGAGTCCATGAAAAACTTTACTCTCCCCAAAATAGCCTTACCCCCAATTTAATTACCAAACATATCCCAAAATAGCCTCCCCAAAATACCCTTTCATCAGTTACGAATATATTCCTCCTTTCAAGTCATCAGTCCTTTCAAGTCATCAGTCCTTTTAATTCCTCCTCCAAATTACCAAATTACCAAACTTTACTCCTTTCAATTCCTCCTCCTCCTCCTTTGATCTTCCATTACCTCCAACAGCTTTTAGAGATGAATTCAATTAACCAGTTCATCTGTTACCCTTCATCTCGGCCCCTCTTTTCGGTTCTTACGTTACGCAGTCGAACGATCTTAAGCCATCAATTTCAAAAGATGAGTGTTATTTCCCTAATCATTAACCCGTCTCCAACATCATCTCTTCATTTGTCAGAATTTTTGCATTGGGTAGAACCAGCAAGGAATTTCATTGAAGAAGGTATTCCTAAATTTTTCCTACGCTTTCTGCTCAATTCATCATCTCTCCTTTTTGTTCTTCATTTCTCTCATTGGTTCTAATTTTAAAGAAAAAATTCATTTAATTGTGTTCTAATTAGCCATCATTTCATTTTGTTCTAATTCAACAATAGGTCAAGGATTGTCCGAATTAGGGCTTGCTTCAAGTCTTCATCTTGCTCCTGTGTCAGTTTCAACAGGTAAAAATTCATTTTTTTTTAATTTATGGTTTATGTCCTTTTAGTTAAATTTTGTGAATTAGTTTTTTTAATTTTAAGCTTAATTGAGGAAATTAGGGGTGGACGACTTTGTTAGATAGTATTTTCAGACACAAAAGGGGAAACTTGACTGAGTTTGTTAGATAGTATTTGCAGACAGAATTTTGAGCTGACTTGAGGAAATTAGGGGTGGACGACTCTGTTAGATAGTATTTTAAGACACAAGGAGAAACTTGACTGAGTTTGTTAGAAAGTATTTGCAGACACAAAAGGGGAAACTTGACTGGGTTTGTTATATTCCAATTATTTGCTTGCTTATATTGTTAGACATATGTAGACAATTAATTTACGTAGAATTAGGAAGAAAGCATCATGTTTGTTATATAAAATTTGTGAAAATGAAGTGGTTGTTCAAAGACAACAGCAGGAGCAAATAATATACCAAATCTGTAGAGGAGTATGGTACACAATGCATAGGAGAACAGAGTAAAGATTCTACTCGATCAGATCCACACAACTGAATTGAAAAATTATGTTGATTAAATAATAATGACATAAAAAAATTAGAAAATCATTTTTTGTTTTCATGAACTGATAACAGAGGTGAATAATAAGCAAGACCTGTAGCAGACACATGACATGCAACTATAGTTCAAGTATTTATAGCTATGATGCCTCAAAATAATGATTAAATCATTAAAAAGCTATCATAGATCTTGACTGAATAAGTACATAAGTAAATCATGCCATAACAAAGAAATAAAGAGGTAAATGTAACCTTTCAAGATACAGTCTACGCAAAATGAAGACCTAAATGATATATTACACGAGTTTCCACAACACTATATGTTATTTATATAGAGAACTATATATACAGACAGATACTTACACAGACATTTTTATATATAGTAGCCTTATACATATTTACTGACCGCTGCAAGAAAAAAGATGAATGTTTAGCTTTTCAACAGTAGCTTAATATGTACATGTTCTGGATTGAAGCCACTTCAATGTAGCAGTTTTATGTGCAACAGAGATGAACACTGCAGGTCCTATGAACAGAGGAGCTGATACATTGTCACGCCCAGTTCCTTCTCTTGGCCCGGAGTTGCATAAGCTTGTCTTTCCATTGTGCTAAACAAATACAAACGCCAAGAAAGTTAAGAGCCTTCTATTAGGTATAAGTAAAGCACACAAATATGAAAGATCTTTAGAAATCCATGATCCCTGATAGAAGCTCACGCAGAAAGGCCCATATAGTTGTGTGCCTTATACCATTACAGCATTAATTCTGCAGATAGGTAAATAGTAAAAAAAGTTATAGAATTTAATTCAGATCTCCTGTGTTCAGGGAGATAGGAGATGATTCATAAGTTGCTCACTGAAGATGGAGGTCATCAAACCTGTATCACATCCAGTTCATATATAGGCATTTCATCAGAACATCCAAGACACAAAATGCATGCCATAAACATAACAAATCATACAAATAAAGGACCTGAAAAACTGGATTAGATGTTGATGATACCTAACATGAAGGTTCAAGAAAAGTTTATGTATTAGGATTGATCACTTCCACCTCTACACTCTGTTTTTTTATAAACAAAATCATAAAATGTAGAAAAGTTAGAAATACTAACAAAAACAAGAAAAGATACGAAAAGGACATTCTAACGCAAACTGTGAAGGGATATCATTGTTTAACAAGGGAAACTTGACGTACAAAGTTGCATAAGGCATCCAAGGACATTTTGCTTATTTTAACCAACACGATGCTTTATCACGGAAACACAAAACTGAAGCTCTATTCTTTACTCACATGACATGGGTACTTCAATGATACAATACCTGTTTCACTTGAATGCAGTCATCAAAACAATCGAATTGATTTCTATTGTTCTGAAAGAACTCAAAATTTGATAGAAGATATATTACGGTCGCAGCTCCCTCTCACTCACGCAAAGTTTTCGAGTTTGATTTCTGGATTTATTTTTGCAGGTTTATTCGAAATATTAGCTTATGGGGGGTGAAAAGAGTATTTATAATATATATTATTAATTTTAAAAGATACATGCGGAATGCAGATAAATGTTGATCTACCTAATATCAGGTTCAAACTTGAGAAACTAAAACAATCATCTGTAATCAAGAACCATAACCAAATCTAATGTCTAACATATATTAAAGAGATACGTTATTTCAATATTAGTCCCTCACATCTTCAATATATTTCATTATATAAGAATTTAATTTACTATTGATAATACTTGAAAATTGCTTCAGAAAAAGGACTACTTCAAATTTAAAATAATCTACTTTCAAAACTTGTAGCATTTGCATACGTGAATAAATGATTGAAGTCACTTAACATATCATCAGATGATGAAAGCATAGGACTGAGAGTTATCTTGCAAAATTTGCATTTAAATACTTACCATGAGATTCGGAGCCTGGTACTAAACCAAAGACACCATCATATGACTGCAAGCAGTAAGCAACAAATAGAAATTGCATCTTACTAATAAAAAACACAACAATCTATTTGTTACAAACAATTCTATAGATACTACGGACCTGGCATTGGACTATATAATCTTTGGCCTTTCCTTTGTCCATCCCAATCCAACACTAAAGCAATTATACCTTGAAGATGTTGGTATAAAACCTGTTATTGTTATCTTAGTTTTATACTCTCAGTAAAGGCTTCTATATTGTTGTTGTCTGTAAACATTTCCTTGCGTGCTCTGGTATAGTAGTTCATATGTACAATTTCTTGCAGGTTATTTGACCTAAAAGACAAAAAATCATGCATATTAAGATTTATGAAACAATGGTTCAATTTATATGTTAAAACATGTTGAGGAAATCTAAGAATATGGAGGGTTCCCAGGCTCTATAGATGGATATGTCGCTATTTTTAAAGTTGTTTAAAACTTACACACTGCATATGTTTTGGTCATAACAACAAATGCTAGATAAGATATATTTGCTTTGTTTCATGATAGAATCCCATTAGACTCAATACTCTCTGATCTTCTTAATTTTCTTTACTTGTTTTAATGCACACATTATACCGTTCCTAATAATTTAACATTTTTTCATATTAATGCAGATATTCTACTTGGTTGGATTTGCCTTTTTTTTGGAAATATTTCTAAATTTGTCGGTGATTCAGGTGAGTTAAGCAAATTTCTTCTCTTTTCTCTTTATTTTATTCATAGTGATAGTAACTCTATTTCCTTGTATTTATCTTCTTCTTCACTTAAATATTTATTATTATTATTATTATTATTATTATTATTATATGACTTAGAAAAACAGAATTAACCTTAGCATATGAGAAATTTTTGATTATTGATGCATGTATAGTGCACCAAATTAAAAAAAAAACTTAAATACTATTGAACATCAATTAAAATATATTTGCTCAAATTATATTCATTGCTATACTTTTGTTAAATAAAATCAATAATTTAACGCATTAAATTTTTTTTTCCTTGTAGAAATTTACATTCTACTTCTTGGATTGCATAATCACTATACATTTGCATAAGAGTACATTCTTCCAAATGACTTCCAACCAAGGTTTGAATTCAACATAAATAAATATATATATTATTATTGTTTTATGTGTATTTATGTTTATTAATAGTATATTTCATTATTTTTTAACAGAAGAACAGAGTCTAATACATGAGAGTAGAAACACCAAATATAATCAGTTGAATATTGATCAGAAGAGAACTTACATTCAGAAGGTCATTGATAATAATAGAAAGAGGAAAAGTAATGATTTTGCTGGCAGTAGTACAAATAGCAAGCGAAAACGTAAGATTGATTTGTTTTGTGGAGCGCAACAACGGGAATATGAGCATGGAGGTTTGCATAGAATAATTTTATATTTTAGTAAAATAATTACATGATTTTATATATCTAAATTTATTTAACACTAAAAACTATTCTTTTTTGTCTAGGTCAAATTAACCATGAACCAGTATGTTCTTTATTACATAAACTACGCACTCCAAAATCTTGTTCATTTTGTGGAGCAAAAAAGTTTGAACACGAGCCACCAACATCCTGTTGCCACAATGGTGAAATCCACCTAGCAGATGTGAATGTTAATGACGAGTTATATGCCCTTTATACAGTACAAACCCAAGAGGCAATTGAGTTTCGAAGACAAACCAGAAAGTATAATAGCATTTTCTCATTCACATCATTTGGGGCAAGGTTTGATAGAGAGCTTGCATCAAACAAAAAGGGTATTTTCACATTTAGAGCACAAGGACAAATATATCATAATCTACCCTCTCTAATTCCAAAAGAAAATAAGCCCTCTTACTTTCAACTTTACTTCTACGATACGGAGAATGAGTTGCAAAATCGAATGAGAATATTAGATAATGCAAACATGAGTACGACTACAACTAAAAGATTGATGGCTATATTAGAAGGAAACCCATATGCAAAATTTCTACGGAAACTGAATGATTTTCCATCTCTTGAAGACTTCAAGATCATTATAAATAGAGATGCTGCAGTAGATCAACGTGTTTATAACTCGCCAACAGTGGATCAGGTTGCAGCTGTCTGGGTAGAGGGAAATAATGAAAATGTTCCATATGAGAGAGAAATAGTCGTCCATTCACACTCCGGCAAGAATCATCAAGTTAAGCACTATTTTGGTTGTTATGATCCTTTACAGTATCCTTTACTCTTTCCAGGCGGAGATGTTGGATGGCACCAAAATATTAAAAGAAGGGAGAAAAATGATATTCGCCGTTCAAAACAAATAAATGCTACATCTCAAGTGACTCAGCAAACTTTTACATCTGCAGAAGACATATTTAAACGAGAAAGTGAAGGTAAATCATAATTAAAATTATTTAATAATATTAAAACATTAAAAATTAACTTAACATGCAAACTTGTAGGTGTTAAAGCACCAAAGGCGGGAAGTGTCTCATGTCGAGAATATTATTGTTACAAGTTCCAAATAAGAGACACTCGACAATCTACTGTATTAACATCGGCAGGCCGGTTGTTCCATCAATATGATGTTGATATGTACATAAAGCTTGAGACAACAAGACTTGATTATTTTAGAAAGAAACAATCAGAAATCAGAGCAGAGTTATTCCAAGGCATAGTCGATAGTGTAGCTGCTAGGGAAGCAAAAGCATGTCAAGTCGGAAAAAGAATAGTTTTGCCATCATTATTTATTGGTGGTTCTAGAGATATGCGTCGTAGATATCTTGATGCAATGTCATTAGTACAACGATTTGGAAAATCAGATATTTTCATCACAATGACATGCAATCCTGAATGGGAAGAAATCACGGAGGAACTACATCCAGGACAGACACATAATGATAGACCGGATCTAACCTCAAGGATATTTCGAGCAAAATTGCAAGACCTTAAAGATTAGCTATTTAAAAAGGAAATCTTTGGAAAAGTTACTGCCCATGTTCATGTCATCGAGTTTCAAAAAAGAGGGTTTCCTCATGCACACATGTTAATTATTCTAATGGGAAAGCACAAAATCGTATCATCAGATCATTATGATAAGTACGTATCAGCAGAAATTCCAGACCAGTATGAAAATCCAATTCTATATGAACTGGTAAAAAAACATATGATGCATGGTCCTTGTGGAGAGTTAAATATGAAGAATGTTTGCATGCAAAATGGCGAGTGCAAGTATCACTATCCTAGAGAGTTTTCTCCATGATCAATACAAGCGAAAGATGCTTACCCAATTTATAAACGGAGCAAAAATAATAGAACAATGTTGGTCCGAAACAAAATTCTTAATAATCAATGGGTGGTGCCTTACAATCCATATTTACTGACACGTTATAACTGTCACATCAATGTGGAAATATGCTCAGGCATAAAAGCAGTGAAATACCTTTATAAGTACATATATAAAGGCCATGATAGAGTGGCAGTTAAGGGCCTGTTCGTTTGCCTAAAAAAAGAGGGAAATCAAAGAAATGGAAAACTATTAAAATGAAGAATTGTTTTTGGAGTGTTTGGTTGGCTAAAAAAGAAGGAAATCAAAGAAATGAAATTGAAATGATGTTAGTTGTCACCTTATTATTGGATGATGTTTGTGATTTTTTAAGAAAACTAGTTTTGGAGTGTTCGGTTGGCGAAAAAAAAATAAGGAAATGAATTATAAGAAACCTATTTCCTGTAGTTTCTTGTTTTCTTTTGTTCGGTTCATTCTTAAAAATAAGAAATGAAATGAGATGAGATGAGTTGTCATTGTATTATTGGGTGATGTGAAGAAAGATTAAGAAAAGTGTTTTCATAACTTTTTGGGATGAAAATGAAGAAATGAAATGTTAATGAGATTGAGGTGAATTGTTATAATATTTTATTGGATGATGTGAGTGATTTGAAATGATGAGAAGAGATGAGTTGAGTGATGTTTGGATGAAAATAATATTTTATTAGATGTGATGAATGAGTTGTTAGATGAAAATAATATTTTATTAGATGTGATGGATGAGTGGTTAGATGAAAATCATATTTTATTAGATGATGTGGATGAGTTGTTGGATGAAAATAATATTTTATTGGATGTTGTAGGTGAGTTTTAGGGATGGAAATGGAGGAAATGGTGAGTTTTGAGATTTTCACCATTTCCATTTCTTGGTTTTTAGAAAACAAACGAACATGCCCTAACATTGAGTATAATGAAGGTGAAAAAGTTGTGAATGAAATCAAAAATTTTTAAGATGCAAGATGGGTATCAGCTCAGGAAGCTTTCTGGAGAATATATGAATTCCATCTTAATGAGATATTCCCGGCTGTCATTAACTTACAACTTCACATGCCAAATCAGCAATATGTTTCTTATTGGAAACATCAAGACCTATCGAAATTGATTCACTTGGAACATAAAAAAATTAAAGAAGGTAACAAGAAGAAACATGAAAAGGACCACGAAAAGGAGTTATTATATGTGGAATTTCCTGAATGTTATGTTTGGGATTCAACATCAAAATCTTGGAGTCCAAGAAAACAGAGACAAGTAATAGGTCGAATAAACGGGGCTAATCTAATTGAAGGAGAGAGATATTACTTGCGACTATTGCTTACTCACGTTAGATGTCCGACATCATTTGAGAATCTACTTACGGTAAATGGTATTCATTGCAAATCTTTCAAGCAATCAGCCCAGAAATTAGGTCTTTTGGAATCTGATGATAGCATAACAGAGTGCTTAGATGAAGCCATCGTCTTCCAAATGCCAACAGCACTTCGTCGTTTGTTTGCAACTATATTGGTTCATTGTGAGCCCACAGATGTTAATTATTTATGGGATCAATATCTTGAATCATTATCTGAAGACTTCTCAAGGAAACCAAATGCTACTAGAGCTTCGGTGATAAATGATACTCTTCTCAATATTAACTTCTACTTAGAGAGTATGGGAAAGGATAATAAAAAATTTGATTTGTCACCTTTACAAACAAAAACCATTTCAGAGGAAGGTTCATACCCAAGAGAAATAAAAGAAGAGCTAGATGTACAAATCCCAACTGATGATGTAAATGTTGCAACAAAACTCAACTATGAACAACATACTGCATACACTACAATATTAACACGAGTTGAAGCAAATAAAAGTGGAGTTTTCTTTATTGACGGTCCTAGAGGAACCGGGAAGACTTACTTATATCGTGCTCTACTTGCCACAGTAAGATCGCAAGGTATGATAGGTCTTGCTACAGCGACATCAGGTGTCGCAGCTGTAATAATGCCTGGTGGAAGAACATCACACTCCAGATTTAAAATCAAAATCCCAACAACAGATTCATCTATGTGTGGTATATCAAAGCAAGATGGGATATCAAAACTCATTAGAATAGCTCGTCTAATAATTTGGGACGAGGCTCCTATGGCTAAACGCGTTGCAATTGAAACGTTGGATAGAACACTAAGAGATTTAATGGATCAAGATGAACCATTTGACGGAAAAGTAATTGTATTTGGTGGCGATTTCAGACAAGTTTTACCGGTGGTGCCTCGCTCAACAAGATCACAAACTATCAAAGAAAGTTTAGTAAGCTCACATTTGTGGAGCAGAATGATCAAACTACAACTTTCAAAAAATATGAGAGCAAAATCAGACACAACATTCAGTGAATTTCTTCTTAGGATTGGGAATGGAGATGAACCAACAGTGACTCAGGATCTCATAAAACTGCCTAATGAAATATTGATCCAGAATCAAGGTGATGACCTACCGGAAGATTCTCTCATAAATTCAATTTTTCCATCTTTAGATGAGAATTTTAAGTCTATTGAATATATGAAAGATAGAGCTATCCTTGCAACAAAAAATTAATATGTTGACAAGTTAAATGATAGACTAATAAAAAGGTTTCCAGGAGAAGGAAAAGAATTCTATAGCTTTGATGAAGCAGTTGATGACACTAATCATCATTACCAAGATGGATTTTTGAACACTCTGCTCCCTAATGGACTATCGCCACACAAGCTCAAGTTGAAAAAATATTGTCCAATTATTTTACTAAGGAACTTGGATCCAACTAATGGATTGTGCAACAGTACAAGAATGGTATGTTAAGATTTTAACTACAATGTAATTCAAGCTAAAATCACAATGGGCCAACATGCTGGGAAAGAAGTTTTCTTGCCAAGAATACCATTGTCACCAGCAGAAGATGAAGGATTACCATTCAAGTTCAAACGCAAATAATTTCCCATAAGATTATGTTTTGCAATGACAATTAATAAATCCCAAGGACAAACAATACCTAACGTAGGTATTTATCTACCTGAACCAGTGTTCTCTCATGGGCAATTATATGTTGCTTTATCGCGGGGTACTTCTATGATGACAACCAAGGTCTTAATAACATAAGATGGAAAATTTGCAGAAGAGGAACAATACACAAAAAATGTTGTATACAAGGAAGTTCTCCAGCCAAAGGTCAACGAGGAATAATTCAAATGACCAATAACATTTTTGAAGGTTAGGAATTTATATAATAAGTAGCTGCAATTTTATTAAAGTTTTTTTCTTAAAAATAATTTAAAAATTTACAATTCATTATTACATCATTCACTCTCTTCATTCAAATTCATGTACTAATCAAAATTAAAATAACTTTAAACATTATAAATAATATTAATTAATAAATTCAATTTACTATAATTAGTGTCACACCTTTGATATAGAAATAGTCTTATTTTATTTTCTTTTGAGTTTATTTAGTACTTCAGATGCGTTGTTATTTATATATAACAAACTGTTCAAATTCTTGCAGGAACTATGTCATCCAACAACGAAGCATCAATTCCACACATCCAAATACGCCAACTAAAAAAATTTCAAAGAGAGTGGACCATTCATGTTGTTATCCTAAGAACTATTGAGTCATCTTATGAGAACAACAAAGGATCAGGAAAACTACTAAAATTAATTTTTGCCGACTCAGAGGTAATGTAGCAATATTCTACATTCTATAATTCTATTGATAATTGTTGATACTTATTCTTAAATAAAGTAATACATACAATGTTTACGTACAATATCCATCACTTTTTATCATGCCATAGCAATCGTTATTTTAAATCTATGCATAGCCTTCTCAAATTTTTTAAAATTTATAAATTATAAATATAAATTAAATTATAATTGATGATGCTTATTCTTATATTAATTATTATCACCTTACTGTGTATAAGATCATATTAAAAAAATTCCTGCAAATATTAAAGAGGTAAGCAACATGTAATTCATTTTCGCAAATTTTTTACACCAAATATCATGGTTTCTTCCTAATTATACGTAAATTAATTTTCTAGATATGTCTAACAATATAAGCAAGCAAATAATTGGAATATGACATCAACACAACATTTTATACACTGCAACAAAATAGTTATTACTTAGACTAAATTTTTAATAAGCATATTTACCATAAATTTATTATTTAGTTGCATGATCAAGCTAAATTTTGAGCATATTTATTTATCATGTTAGCCCCTCAACTTAGTTGGTGTTGCAAAACTTTGGTGGAATTGTTTATACAAGTAGCGCCTATTTAAATTTTTTACAAAGAGCTAATCCGTATAAACGATTAAATTTGTTAATTGAGATCAAATGACTTATTAGTAAGTTGTAGAAATTCTAATTCAATAACAGATAACTTTATATAAATAAGGTTAGTTTCGTTGGTGAGTTAAAAGGTAAATTTTTTTTGGACCCGAATATTATGGATAGCTTTCAGTAAAATCTAGAGAATGATTATTTAAAAGTTTCACACATAAAACTACATTTATACAAAACTTACGTCATTTATTACTTATCTTATTTATCTTAGGCTTAAATAAATGTTAATGTATTAGTTATTTGTGAGATAATATTAATAATATTTGCAGGGGGAAAAAATACAAGGTATTATGTTTGGAGAAACTATTGAAATGTATAAGCACATGCTTCAGAAGAATCATGTTGTTTACATCTCAAATGGAGAAGTCAAACCAATAAACCCGCTTTATGGAAATGTACATGAGTCAATTGAGTTGACATTGACTAAGAACATTTCTATCAAAGAATCAAAAGCAGAGTTTCAATTTGATAAGATATTGAATAACTTTATCTCAATCAAAGATGCAATTGCCAACGAGGATACAAGGAATATAAGTAAGTATTTGTAAATACATTTTATTTTTAATTTAAAAATTTATACATGAATTTTCAAATTATTATAAATTTATGTGCAGATGTTCTTGCAATGATAGCAAATGTCAAGCCTATGATCAAGTACGTTACAAGATATAATAAGGCAGACATAAGGCGGGACATCATTATAGTAGACAAAGAGTATACACGCATGCTTTTATTTCACAATAAATTAATTATTCAAAATATAATATATTAACCTAAAATTGTCTAACTTTTCTTACACAGTGAGATAACTGTCTGTAACTTTATTCAGAGATTTAACTGGCAATGAAGGTTCAATTATTGAAGGAAATATGCATGAGACAACTATAATAGCGCTATCAAATTTTAAAATATCATTGTACAAAGGTAACATTTTCTATTATTGAATTGTAAATTATTTATCAATAAATATCAATTTCTAATTATAACTATTACATATGCAGGGGATATGTGCATGACTTCGCAAATTGCATCGACGCTATGTATCAACCCTAAAATACAACTTGCTCAGGACATGAGAGAATGGTAATTCAAATAAAAAAGGTAACTTAATAAATAAAATTTTAAATATTTTTAAAATTATATGCAGGGCTCTTTCAAAAGACAAGATCAAGACTAATGGTGCTCCGTCAAGGCTATTTAAAAATGCAGTGAAAATGAATATTATTGACATTATGCAAGCTTCACAAAATTCATTCACAAAATTCATCAAAGGTATGATATTCAAAATACTACTATAAAATATTAATGAATCAAGAGCTTCAGTTTCAAAACAAGCTTATATAAATAGATCTTGTTTCATTGATGTTTCAAATACATTTACAATTATTACTTTTACATAAATTTTAAAAAAATTCTTTTTGGACTATATTTTTTAAAATTATTTTATAATTTCTTATTTTATTTAATAAATATATTAAAACTACATTTATAACTAACTAAATTTTTACAAATCTACAGGCACAATATGGCAGCTTTACTGGAAAAATAAGTAATATCTTAAATAGACATAAGGTTTGGTACTACTCATGCAAAGGCTGCAATAAAAAAGTAGACAAAACTATTTATGACAAATGTCAAAATTGTCAAAAAAACAATGAAGACAGTATACCGAGGTAAAGTACTATCACTTAATCATGAAAGAAAAATATAAAGATTAAATATAAAAATATCATCTGATGCACAATGATAATACAAAATGTAGGTATGTTGTTAAAATCTTAGTGGAAGATGAAACAGATACTGCAAGAGTCACACTTTTTGACGCATCAGAAACTTTGATAGGCTGCAATGCTCAAATCTTCATGGATGATATAAAAGAGGTAACTTCTTACTTTATTATATTTTATACATATAAAACAATATGTTTCATATATAAGATCTTAATTTTTTACTCATTAAAACAGAAAAAAAATCAGAGTTCATTCTTTCAAAAGTTTGTTCTCAACATCGGAAAGACATACAAGTTCCTTGTAAAGTTGGATGAGAACTCAAAGGATGAACGTGCACAAGGAAAGATAATAGCACAAGAAATCCAAATCCAAGAAGACATCCCAATCAACATTGATGATGATGATTCAGTTCTCGATTTACCAAAAAAGAAGATAAAGGTGGAGAAGGATTGATCAAGGGCCCACAAATATTAAACATGAATGTTTTTTAGTTTTAATTACATTTACAAATTGGTTGAAGGATTTCAAATGAGCTTTTCATATGCTTTTAAGATTATGAACTTATGAATTTAATTTGTTAGGACAATTTATGATTTATACGCATATGCTCATATAGTTGTTTGATAACTATTACATGCTTTGCTTGTTATTGCAGTTATTAACTTAAATTTAACATTAAATTATGTGAATCTAAATATATATTCAGAGAATAGCTCACTTTATTACTTTAAATTTGCATGTTAACTTTTTTTTAACTTATCTATACTGCACATGAACTATTGTTGATGAGTCCTTTGTAAGAAATATGATGACAAAGCACAGCTTACTGAACCAGTTGAGAGGAAACAATAGCTTTCCATAGAGAATGTAGCTAATTTTACTAAATTGTTATTCTAATTTATTTCTTTTAGTAGCCCAAATTTATTTGTATCTGTTTTATGACATGGCCAGATTCTCAATGTTCTTAAAAGAATAATCAATGAAGATTGCCTACTACTAGATTTTTTTATGACATGGCCAGATTCTCAATGTTCTTAAAAGAATAATCAATGAAGATTGCCTACTACTAGATTTTATACCTATGATTTGAAGAAGGTTTCTTCTTGGTCTTCATTCTTCAATCCGGTACACAAAACCCTAGCTCTAATTGTTAGTTCCGCTCAATTCACCGTCTCCCCTTTTTGTTCTTCAATCCTCTCCTTTTGTTCTAATTTTGCCCTATTTCTCGATTTCCTGCAGTTTCAAAAGACGAGGGTTTCAATATTCAAACAGCTTCTGTAGCAAGTTTAGAAAGTAAGTTGAATCCATACAACTTATTATATCAAGATGTATTATACATTTCTATCATCAATCTTACACAGCTTATTTTGAGAGACCTTTGGCAAAAGCTCGGACATTCACAAACAGTCTCACATTCACATTATGAATTATTTAAAAAATCAGGTATGCTTGTGTAAAAGCCCTTTTTAAGTCATTTACTTGATTTATGTGCCTTCTTTGTATTCTTAATGCCTGTCGTCTTCAGCAACTCAAACTGGCAGTTTGAAATCGAAGAGCTCAAGACTCTACCCAACACTCCCAAATTACTGAGAAATATCTAACTCGCAGCAATCTTATTAACATTTCATCAACATACACAAAACTTACTCCTATTCTTTAACAGTTTAAAAACATAGAATATAAACTAATTATACAAATTTAATTTCAAAAAAGTTAGTGTTTCTAAAATAATGAATAAACCTTTAACTTTTGCAATTTAACAATAAATCTGACAAACAGATTTTCTTCAGCAACTTGCAGACAACCAATAGAATAAAATCCATATGACATTGCTTAAATTATACAGAACTAAACATTTTGCACTTACAATCGGTTTGGATACAAATGAGGGGAGGGAAGGGGAGTGATTGACTTAAACCCAAGGGCAGCGAGTGGTTGGTTGCTTGTATGATATCTAGAAGCAGCATGTGAGTTTTTTCCCCTTTCTTTTTTAATTTGTTTGAAAGGGGGGGTGGGGTGGGTAGGGGGAGGTGAATGGTAGGTTGGTGCCATAGTTTTTTAATAGACAGTCGTCATTTATTTTATTAAAATTTGAATAAATTTTAATCAATTAAGAATTTTGTTTGTTTTAATAGATTCTTTAGTGACAAGAATTTAAATAGATTAATGTTAAAGAATGGTATACCTGCAAATAAATATGAAGATTTTGTTTGGGGGTTGGGGTGGGGTGGTTCAAATGTTTACATACAAGGTAAGTTTGCATCTAAAGAATTTTGTCACTAAGTATCCAAGAATCTAAAGAATTTAGTTTGAGCCAATTATTTTACCATTATGTCAAGAAATTATGTGCATCTTCTTTAAATTATAGTAAATTAATTTCCGTTCCTAAAGTTGTTTGTTTTAATGTCGTTCCTTAAGTTTTCTTGTTTGTTTATAGTAATTTATATCGGTTTTGATGTGAAAAATTCAGCATGCGCTTGAAATGGATGTGACTGCATCTTTACTTGGTTTGAGTTAGCTTTAGGAGACTTGGAGATTGTTATTTACGACTCATGTTTTTTTTTCTTTTGTCACAACCCTCTTATTATACCAAAAACGCAACATCATTCATTTACATTTCGATACAGTTACCTTTGTTGGAAATGAAATGCTATATCCGGTTCACACCCTTTGTATTATTGACTGTGCCCATATAGACTACTTTCCACACTGTGACTGGCATTTATACTATCTTGTAAGAAGACATTGGCACTTAAGAAGAAATATGTAAAATGCAATTGTGCTAAATTGATGGGTTTGCTGTGTACTGTTTGTAAGAGATGAATAAGCAGAATATATCAAATTCATTATATGGCCTTCCAAAAAATATTACCTAATTAGAACATGAGTCGAAAATAACAGTGAGACAAACTATGTTATTTAACATTAGCAACTATGTTAAATGCAGAGCATTAAAAACATAACAAATAACTACATAAACTAAAGTTTTCAAATAAGAGAAGCTTATAGAAAATCTGCGACTCAATCTACAATAAAATCTTTCATTTCTATAACTGAAAGCGTTTGTAGTCATGTAGCAGTGTATTTTAGTATCTGGAATGTAGTCCTACAACATACATAATCATCTCTTGGATTGAACTGACTTATAACCAGAACACACTATTAATCAGAACATGGGTATCTTTTTCTTATTTTTTGTGCTCTAACAATGTGAAATTGGCTTAAGTATAAAAATACAGGACAATACAATTTCTCTTAAAATCCTACACATGCTTACATTGGATGTGACTGCATCTTACATAATCGGCTGGATAATGTAAATATATGCTTCGTAGGTTTAACTGGGTAAAGTCAGGTCCATTATATGATTCTTGCAGTTTGAGTTTTTGTTGGTTAGAAATGAGAATATATGTTCGCTTCGAATCTTGATAGAGTCCCATTTGACTCAAATACTACCAAATCTTCTTAATCTTCATTACTTGTTTTATGCACAAATTATACCGTTCCTAAAGTTGTTTTATTTGTGGATGATTCAGCTAATTCGGCGGAGAAAGTACTAATCAGTAAAGGTAATTTTCACTTTCATTCCATTTCAGTTCCTCTTCATAATATGTGTTTGTTCATGCTCTTTTTACATAGTTCAGTTTCATACGAACTTTCACATAGGCTCATCTTGGTATCTATGTGGTTGGATATATGCTAGGAAAGAATGATACTATGACAGATAAGTTAGTCCTAACCTGCTGAATAACTTTAGGTGATGTAAGATGATTGATTCAGTGCAAAATATTGACCAATCCCACATAAAACATGGCACAATGGAATAAAATATGCCCTGGTAAACCAAAAGAAAGAACTTGAGAGGGGTAGTGCATACATTGCTGTATAGAATTGGATTTCAAGGTGATCTGTGAGAGATCATTGACACCTTCCACCGGTGGACCAGCTGGACATCCTGCTTCTGGGTTACTTAGAGCTGAGATGCTGCCCAGTGGGTATTTGATTCGACCTTGTGAGGATGGTCCTGCTTCTGGGTTACTTAGAGCTGAGATGCTGCCCAGTGGGTATTTGATTCGACCTTGTGAGGATGGTGGTTCGATGATTCACATTGTTGATCATGTGGATTTGGATGTAAGTATACTGTGAAATAAACCCCTTTACTAATTGGCAAAATTTTAGTATTTAGATGACCAGTTTTTCTTATGCCGGTGTGCTCTAGCCTTGGAGTGTGCCCGAGGTGGTGAGGACCTTGTATGAATCAACGAAAATATTGGCACATAAAATGACCATAGCCGTAAGTTTGCACTCCCAATTTGCAATATTTCGTACACTTCAAATTAAAACTTTGGGATTGAGTTTCTAAAGTAAGTTTGCACTCCCAATTTGCAATATTTCGTACACTTCAAATTAAAACTTTGGGATTGAGTTTCTAAATCTGTTTCCTTTTTAGGCGTTGAATCATTTCGTACACTTCAAATTAAAACTTTGGGATTGAGTTTCTAAATCTGTTTCCTTTTTAGGCGTTGAATCATATTAGACAAATTGCACAAGAAACCAGTGGTGAAATTGCTTATGGTGGTGTAAGAAAACCTGCTGTATTGATGACATTTAGCCAGCGATTGAGCAAGAAAATCCTTGTCACCATTTTCGTGCATAATCATTATTAAATACTTTATGTTGTGCTATTAAATTCAGGCTCACTGAATGAATTCTAGGGGTTTCTATGATGCTGTGAATGGGTTTACGGATGATGGTTGGTCATTATTGGGCAGTGATGGAGTTAGGATGTGACAATTATGATAAACTGGTCACCAAATAAGCTTTTTGGATCTCATGCCAACTCTTCCATATTTTCTCCCATTTGTGGGGGCATCTTAAGTGCAAAGGCCTCTATGCTACTGCAGGTTTCACTCTTACCTTCCGGGTTTATAAGATACCTCTATATCTGATATCAATTTAAAGTCAAACTTGAAATAATTTGTGCTGCAAATTTAACTCTGATATCTTTAATTGTAGAATGTGCCACCAGCTTTGCTTGTTTGGAAAGCCACCGGCTGTAGAGGGATCCTTTGTCATGGCTTGGTGAGATTGCTTGGTTTATTTATCATGCAGATGGTAGAGCTATTAAAAAGATCTTGTGTGCTGCCTTTGCTGCTGCTTTGTATCATATTTGGAGAGAACGAAATGCTAGGAGATTTCAGTCTTGTATTAGCAGGGTTAATGTCATTGTGAAGAGGATTAAGGTTGATATTATAGCTAGAATGTTACATAGTAATCAGAGATTGCACCATTACGTGCATTTATAGAGGAAAGGGAAATCCAAAATATGAATATGCCAACAGCTCCTATTCTCTTCTTTTTCGGTTGTAGGAATGAGAAAACCTATTTTTTTTACAAGGACTTCTGGTTATCTCAAGCCCAAGAGGGAGGAGTATTGTCCACGCAGAAAGGTGGAGGTTTCTTTGTTGCATTCTCAAGAGATCAGCCACAAAAGGTTTTTGTTCAGCATAAGATGAAGGAAAAGCGCAAAAGAATTTGGAATCTACTGAGTGAGGGAGCTGCAATATACATAGCAGGATCCTCAAACAATATGCCAGCAGATGTGACCTCGATGCTTGAAGAGATTGTTCGGAAGAAAGCGGGGTTTCGAAGGAATCAGTTGCTAGATGGCTAAGATCGCGGGAAAGGGCTGGTAGATTTCACATTGAGGCATGGTCATGAGATTGGCTGGTAAATAAGTTAAAAATTTGCACCTCTTTGTTTCTGAATCAAGATTGTGATTAGCATCTAATACCTGCTGCTGCAAGAAGACACTGAAGAACTTCTGTGTACCATCGTTGCTGAAAGAAGAATTAATATTTATTTATGTTTATGTTTATTGTATACAATACAAGAGGGTCCCCCTTTATCATAACTTGAGTAGGTTGCTGATAGAGACATACTTCTTGTACACAATACATTTTTCTGTTTATGTTTATTGTACTAATACAAGAATAAGAGAGTCAAAATTTTTCATAATTTGAGTGGGTTGTTGAAAGAATATGACAGTTTTCCCATCGTGCAAGTCATGCTTGCTTGGCTTGCTGAGCTGTTCGTCTTAGTGTCAGTAAGAATTAAATAGTGAGATTCTATGATTCTATCATATCCTAATGTTTTAACACAAGATAATAATAAAGTTTATGCAGGCAAACCAAAGTATAACTTAATGTTGTCAAATATCAAAATTATAGTCGTTAGTTATGCGCATGGTCAACTTTTCATCTTTTATTGCCTGATGTAACCTCACTCACATTGAGATCTAACAACTTTTAGACAAAAAAATTTATGTTCGAAAGATCTAAAATTTACTGGAATCTGTTTTTATTTTTTATTTTAAGTTATAATCTGATAAAATCTACATTCAAAGCCCAAAGCATCCAAGATTTATTAATATAGGTACACAAACAACTAAAATCTTATCCTCTAAATCGATAAAAAGAAAAGAAAAGCATGATATTTGTCTTCTGACCGTATAATTTTGTGTATGTGTTCTCAGGCGCATACCACACAAATAGGGTGGGCGATAACATGTTTCATCCTCTAACTTTGCTAATTTGCTTTCTATTTGGTTAAAAAACTGTTAGGACGTACATATATCAATGTGCATGCACACTGCACCACACACATGATGGCAATTCATATATATTTCAGACACACACTTACAGAAGAATATTGTTAGCATTGTTGCCATGTCTCTGCTTATAGACTTTCGGTGCACTTTTGTATAGATTAAATGACAAATTTGTTTAAATAGACTGAAAGGGGTAAATTTTATAGCGTGTAATGAAAACAATTATCTTGCATCTTGTTTATGTCAATTACATCATGAGTTCTGATGAAAATATTGAATGTGAAAGATGACCACTTACATAATAAACCTTTTAGATTAGATATACATTACTTTCTTTTTTATTTCCTTTTTTAATTGAGTTGAGCGGTTCTTTCATCATTTACCTTGGGGAAACTAATGCAACAAATTTTTTTGGTTGATAGGAGCTTTGCAGATGGGTTTCCTAATCTTTTTATCAACAATGCCCAAGATATAAGAGGACAACACGTCGCCTTTTTAGCCTCTTTCAGCACTCTTGCAATCATATTCGAGTAGATATCAGTAATATTTGAATTGCCGAAACTCTTCATAGCATCCTTCACATTAGTTTTGGCATTCTTTCCAAACGGTTCTTTTGAACGAATGGAGGAAGAAGGAGATGTTGGAAAAGCTTGCTAAGAAATATGGTGCAATTGCTTGTCAACGTGATATTGAGCAATTATGGAATTTTTACATCAGCTATAAAAGATGGCATCGTGTTGATGATATCCAAAAGGAGCAACAAATATTGCTAGAATCTACAACCTTCAGCACAACAAACTTGGGAGAGTATGCGATGATTTTAGTATATGTACTAACACATTACCTATTACAAAGGCTTAATCAAGCTTCTAATGCAGCTTGGATTTACATCAACATCATCAAACATTACTTTTAGCTATATACTTGTGACAATATTTGATTGATCGATCACGTTTTACATCAACATCATCAAACATTACTTTTAGCTATATACTTGTGACAATATTTGATTGATCGATCACGTTATAGATGCAACCAGTGTACTATCAACCAAAGCTATATACTTGTGACAATATTTGATTGATCGATCACGTTATAGATGCAACCAGTGTACTATCAACCAAACAATCACTAAATATAATTTCATTGTTCAAATGTTGAATTTTGAGATTATGTCTATATGTTTGATCCATTGCTTACATTTAATAATTTAATAACAAATATTTTCCAAAATAAAATTATACATTTATAATAAATAATAAAAAATTTACCACGTGCATTGCACGTGCAATCAAACTAGTTTTTATATATTTCTAAGTTATCCTAGATATCTTTCAACTGCATTTAAAATTATTATTTTTATATTAGTTTTTTTAAATACTAAATTTTCATATTTGTTTTTCTTTTTTCATTTATTTTATCATTTTTAAATTTATTTTCTTCATATATATATAAACTGCGATTACAACTAACTAATTTTTAACAACTATACAGGCACAATATGGCACCTTAACAGGAAAATTAACTAATATCTTAAATAGGCATGATACTTGGTACTACTCTTGCAAAGGCTGCAACAAAAAAGTTGGAAAATATATTTATGACAAATGTCAAAATTGTCAACATATCACTGAAGACGGTATACCAAGGTGAAGTACTATCAATTATTCATGAAAGTAAAATATAAAAATTAAATATAAAAATATCATCTGATGCACAATGATAATACAAAATGTAGGTATGTAGTTAAAATCATAGTTGAAGATGAGACAGATAGTGCAAGAGTGACACTTTTTGACGCAGCAGAAACTCTGATAGGATGCAAGGCTCAGAAATTCATCGCTGATATAAAAGAGGTAACTTCTTACTTTATTACATTTTTGACTTTATGCAAGCATCACAAAAATTATTAGAGGTATGATATTATAAATTCTACTATAGAATATTAATGAATCGAGAACTTCAGTTTCACAACGAGCTGAGATAAATAAATTTAGTTTCATTGGTAAGATATAAAGTAAACAAGAATTTTTTTTACTATAGTGCCTAAAAATTTATTATTTCATGATTAGATATTTCTTATATATTTCTAAGTTATCCTAGATATCTTTCAACTGCATTTAAAATTATTATTTTTATATTAGTTTTTTTAAATACTAAATTTTCATATTTGTTTTTCTTTTTTCATTTATTTTATCATTTTTAAATTTATTTTCTTCATATATATATAAACTGCGATTACAACTAACTAATTTTTAACAACTATACAGGCACAATATGGCACCTTAACAGGAAAATTAACTAATATCTTAAATAGGCATGATACTTGGTACTACTCTTGCAAAGGCTGCAACAAAAAAGTTGGAAAATATATTTATGACAAATGTCAAAATTGTCAACATATCACTGAAGACGGTATACCAAGGTGAAGTACTATCAATTATTCATGAAAGTAAAATATAAAAATTAAATATAAAAATATCATCTGATGCACAATGATAATACAAAATGTAGGTATGTAGTTAAAATCATAGTTGAAGATGAGACAGATAGTGCAAGAGTGACACTTTTTGACGCAGCAGAAACTCTGATAGGATGCAAGGCTCAGAAATTCATCGCTGATATAAAAGAGGTAACTTCTTACTTTATTACATTTTATACATATAAAACCATATGTTTCATGTATAAGAACTTAATTGTTTCCTCATTAAAACAGAAGAATAATCAAAGTTCGTTCTTCCAAAAGTTTGTGCTAAACATCGGAAAGATATACAAGTTCCTTGGGAAGTTGGATGAAAACTCAAAGGATGAACGTGCACAAGGAAAGATAATAGCACAAGAAATCAAAATCCAGGAAGACATCGCAATAAACATTGACGACGATGATGTGGTTCTCGAATTACCAAAAAAGAAGATAAAGGTGGAGAATGAATGATCAAGGGACCAAAAAAAATTTAACATGGACAATTTTTAATTTTGAATACATTTACAAATCTGTTAAGGATTTCTAATGAACTTTTCATATGCTTTTAAGATGATAAACTGATGAATGTAATTTGTTATGACAATTTATGAATTATAAGCATATGCACATATAGTTGTTTGATAACTATTACATGCTTTGATTAATTATGCAATTATTAACTTAAATTTATCATTCAATTGTGTGAATCTAAATACAATGTGAGAAATACAATTTCGATTCTTCATAATCATGTGCTTGGACCATTTAAATTATTGTATTTATAGATGACATATGTGCAAGATGACGTATAATCAAGAAGAGGTCGTCTACAATGTGAGAAATACAAGTATCGGTAAGTTATTATTGATTTCTTCTGTATAAAAAATTCAATCTTTTTGGCAAGTACCAATAAGTTATCATTGATTTCTTATTTTTTTTAAATTTAATCTTGAGAAGAGTTGAGCTTGTCTATTATAAGCCACATGACTATCTTGAAAGGATCAACGATTTTAAGGCAGCTGCAAGGGTGACCTTGAGAAGAGTTGACCTTGTCTATTATAAGCCACATGAAGTTTATGACCAAATGAGGTTTGTTATTTTGCTTATATCAGGTTTACGCTTAATCTTTCATATTGATTTGATGCAGTTTTAGTAGAGTTTATCAGGTCTCAGATTTTAACAGAAGCTCAGGGTGGGAACTGCATATTTAGATTTGCATCTCTAACTTCAGGTTTGTTCATGGACTTGTAATCTTTTTCAATGTTTAAAAGATGTCTTTTTTTTTAATTCCTGAAGGATATTAGCTGTTAGAGTTTATCAGGTTTCAGATTTTAACAGAAGCTCTGGGTGGGAACTGCATATTTAGATTTGCATCTCTAACTTAAGGTTTGTTCATGGACTTGTAATCTTTTTCAATGTTTAAAAGATGTCTTTTTTAATTCCTGAAGGATCTTAGCTGTTGCCTAATGGCCTTAACTCAGCTCAGTGTAGAAGTTGCCTTCGAATTACATATTTACAAGGGCTAATTTGCATAAATTATCGAGTTCCACTCAGGGAGACCCAAGGCTGAATAGAGATCCTCATATGATGATGACTTTTTATTGTTAATTGTTAGTTCCTATTGTTTTAGCTTTCAGATATCAACAAATAGCCATTTGGTAATGACCAAACACAATGATGAAATACGCTGTTCACAGTTATGTGACATTGATTCTTCTCTTGTCCTCTAAAAACCAGTTGAATTTACATTACTTCTATTTTGCAGTTTTATCATTTATGCATGGAAAAGTCATTACTTTCTACCTAGCTGTTTATAAAGTGTTGTGATGTATGTTTCTGACTTATTTCTCAGAACTAGAGGTGGGTCAATAGAAACCTGTGATTTGCCTTCTGTTTGAGAAACTTCCATGTTATGCCAACTGGGCACGTATGACTTTATCGGCTCTCATTATGTTTTGCTCGCAGGATTCTCCTGCCGTCTTTGGGTTCAAGTCGCTGAAAATGAGGAACCATGAATATGCTGCGAATTTATCTCTTTTAGGTAATATTTACTGTTATAGAAGGATGCCTTCTTCCTTATTGACTTGCAATTTCGAGAATTTTTATGCGCTGAGTTATCAAAAATCGTATTTACCATGAGGTTGCATGTCAATTGCCTTTTGACCCCTTCTCTTATGATATTTTTTTCCGTTGCACAAAAATCAAGGCAGTGAGTATTGGTGAATTGCATGATCGATGTCAATGCCTTAGTCTTAACAACACACACTTAGGAGTTCCTTTTGTGCTATGACCATACATTGCTGTTAGCAGTGATATTTCAACTTATATATTCGTGGAAGGAGATCTTTTTTTAAAACTTACATCAGTACCATTTTGATATATGCAAATATAATAAGGACATCTGCCTTCTCTTTTGCAAGGCTTACCTTGGCACCACTTGTCATAAAGGTAGATCTAAGTCTGAATGCAATTCTGACAACATGCCTGACTGTTATGTTGGCTACTACCAATCAGTAAAGGATACACCACCATCAGTAAGTTTTTCTATTTGAAAACCCTTCCATTCTCCTTACTATTTTTTTTCACGTTCATGTTGGTTTTCTATTATTTTTCTGAATGTAAGACGTAATGCATGTAGGAAACGATGTCAAATGAACATGCTATGTGGTTTCCTTTGGTTGGGAGTGCAATGCTTTTGTCATTGTTCTTGCTCTTCAAGTTTCAATTAAAAGATTTGGTGAATGCTGTGCTCACATGTTACTTTTTTGTGCTGGGGATCATTGCTCTTTCTTATGTTTTTTACTCTTGCTTTTAACCTACTTTGTTGTAGCTACATTATTAATGATAAGAATAGCCGCAATTTCTCATCTTTACTGTTCTTTTCCTTTGTAAATTCTAACCTTCTGCGGGCATTTTTCATGTAGAGCGATATTGTTACCTGCAATAAAGCAATACCTTCCAAAACACTGGAATGAAAACCTCATTGTTTGGCATGCTTCAATTCTCCACTGTATGTTTTCTTAAGCCTCTAATATGGTTTGCCTTAATCCTGATGTACTACTGAGTGAGCAAGTAAAATGCTCAATTGATCGTTTAGG